TTTTTTTGTTATGAATATAGGTTACTGAAGAGCAACTTGCAGCATTATTCATTAATTGTGGGCAGGTAAAACATGTCACTATTCCATCTCAGTGATAAAATTTATATACAACTTAGTTCTAAATATATTTCCCACACTAATCATGCTGAAGGTTGTGGATTGTCGCGTTTGTGGGGATCCTAATTCTGTGCTTCGTTTTGCCTTCGTTGAATTCACTGATGAAGGTATGTCAATGACCTGTTTGTTTGGTTGTGCAATTTGGTGAAAACCTGGGATCATATTTTTTTGCATTGTGTCTCAAATGGCTAACAGAAGGGGCAAGAAATGCTTTGAGTTTGGCCGGAACTATGTTGGGATATTATCCAGTGAGAGTGCTGCCTTCGAAAACTGCAATTGCACCTGTTAATCCAACATTCTTGCCAAGGGTGAGAAACCTTTGGCAATCTTTAACTACTTTTGACACATGTTGTAACTTGAATCAGTTAAAGGAATAGAAAACTAATGGCTGTTTTCTTTTCTATGGCACTAGTCTGAGGATGAAAGGGAGATTTGTGCCAGAACTATCTATTGTACAAACATTGATAAGAAGGTAGCTCTGGAATTCACAAGCGTTTTGCCATGTGTCAATTATGTCGCACTTGCATGATTGTTTGTTTGCTTGATGCAGCTTACGCAAGTGGACGTCAAACTCTTCTTTGAATCTATTTGTGGAAAGGTTTGTAGCTGCCCGTATAATAAGTCTCAGTAAATTTTTTTTGTAATATGCAAATTCCATTTGATCTAATGCATTCTCTAACCCAGGTTCACCGCTTGAAATTGCTTGGTGACTATCAGCATTCGGCTCTTATAGCTTTTGTAGAGTTTGTAATGGTAAGAACAATGGGCTTCTCATTCATTTATGCTTGACTACAATTAAATTTACCTCAAAGTTAGTATTATTGTACTAGTTTTAAGCCTCTTTTATATGCTACTTTTGAAAAATGAAATTCGATTAAGAAACTTTTCTTTCTAACTAAAGTTCACTATACATTGTTGTTGTGCTAATATAAGTAGCCCAATTTTGATCTTATGCAATCACTTTCTCACTGTGAAAGTTCACATTTCAATCATAATTCTTATAAATTACCACTAATTTTGGTACATGTATACCCTAGGTTTTGGGGCTCATTTTGATATCGCATAATGTACTATTTATTTGTTGGTGTAAAGAAATGGATTTTCTTTTATGTAGGACAATCTATACCAAATACAATTTCTTATTGTAGTAGAATTTAATTATATTTCTTTCTTGTTTACAATAAGGCTGTTTACCCTATTAGAATTTTAATTACTTATTTCCCTTGATCTATTAGGATAAGATATTACTTTTGCTTATATAAACAAAGGCATAGTACAAATCTTAGATTCAATTCAACTTATTCTTTTACAAAATTTTGAAACTTCTTCGTATCTTAAGAAATAATTTCACTTCAGTACCAAAATCTGTATTAGAGCAAGGATTTTCAGCGTTGTGAAGGAAGGTAGCCAGTTGTATTCAAGATCGATCGGCGGAAGATCAAGGTGGTAGAACACAAATGCGGTGAATAAGTGGTTGGGCGTTGCTAGAGGTTGTAGCAAGTGAGGTGTGACCGAGTTGAAGATGCAAGTGATGATGGGTGCAGTTGGTGAAGGCGACGATTGTCTGGACAAAATAGGATTGGAAGTTGACTGTGATGGACTCTGCCTAATGGAATGGTCGAAGTGGTGTAATCAGTGAGACTGTGCAGAATTGGTGGCATTGTGATGAGTGATAGTGACCGGAGTTGTAGGTACTGAATGAGGAGGTAGAGCAAAGCTGCGGTCGACAAAGAGGGTGGCTAGCGTGGAGATGGCGACTTCGACTAGCAGTGGCTATTACTGTTAGGTCTAGGTTATTAGAATATGACGGGAGTTGAGCAGGTCGATTGTTGGTGTGTTCTTCCCTTTGAAGCAGGTGTGTGGTTGCTGAGATGGAGGTAGTTCGGATGGTAGAGGTGTGGCGAGGTTTGGAGGTCTCTTCAAAGTGGGTTGAGTTTTTGCGGTTGGCTGGCACGTGTGGTTGGACGGCGCTTGGTGGAATGATTTGTGGAATTCGACAGTAGTGTAGTAGATGAGTAGGGAGCTGACGGTTGGATACGCGTGTGGTTTTTGAGTTGGCGTCGGCATCAGCATCGGCATCGGCTTCTACCGGTTGGAATGAATGGAGGAGACGTTGCACATGGCTGATTGGGTTAATTGATATGGACTTGGATTGTTTGGGGTATTGGATTTGTTGGGTTTGTGCTAGTGGGTAGTTGGGTTGGTTTATGGGTTAGGGCTTTTGTGGGTGAAGTGTTGAATTGGGTTTTAGAGTTTGTGCTAGGGCTTGTGTGGGTGTAATATTGGGATTGTATGTATTGGATGATTTCTATTGTTGTACGTGGGTAGATTAAAGAACAGTATTCATAGCAGTAAAATTTAAACAGTAATAAACAACTCCTTTTCTCTAATCTATAGATGAACAAATTGCTGATTTTTTT